TTTTATTAATTACCCTTCAATCGTTTAATGCAGGTACTAACTACAAAATAAGAATAAATCCAGTTCGCATTTATGACGATGTATCTCTGTAGTTGTTCGTAAAATAATTTTTTGCTGCGAACTGGTTTATTTTGGGCAAAAAATCCAGGAGACATTTTTTATTTAGAATGAAACAGGCTATAGGAAATGAATTTTCAAATGGTAAACAAATAATAAGACAAAAAGTTACATGAAAATAAATTTTAGGGATTGCGTTTTCCACCCCTTACAACCATGGGGTAAACCAAATAAATTACTGGCTAAGTTTCTTTTTGGTAGTACAAAACGTCAGGATAATTTCAATATTGTTACTTTTTCAGTGCTTGTGAAAAAATTGTTATACAAATTTTATGTACCCCCTTTAAGGGACAGTATCTTAACAAGGGATGCTCCAATGAAGTTTCTTTATATGAAAGATCCTATATTTTTCTCGATGAGGAATCACCTCCTTAAATGTTTCACACTTATTCAGTATACCTACTGGGAAATACCATGCAGTATTCACCAAGATGATCGAGATGGAGGGAATAAGGACGTCTAAAATTTGATGAATAGATACGAATATGAGAAGAGGTTAACTATATGTGAACAATATAAGATTCCAGACCGAAACAATAACTAAAAAGATCAGAACCAAAGGTGGGGGTAGTACTGTACGAAAAGACATGAGGCTAAAAGGAAATACGATATATCGGCCATATATCGTTATTGAACTTGAACTGAGAAGCTTTGTTATATATTTTGTTTCGTCCATGAACTTGTCCTTTCGAAAAATATCATCATTTCAATGGCTTATAACAGCTGGTTTCTGTTTACATATTCAAAGAAAATAGTTCTCCCAAAACGCAAACTGCTTCAAATATAGTTTAATGTACAGCAGGTTGCAGATATTGTTAAGTGATTGTTGTCTTTTCAAAATGTTTACTCCAAGTTCGAATCGCCTACAAGTTTTTCTGCGCGTACACTCATGAAAACACCATTTTGTATTTGAAGGTTGGTCGTATACCCAGCTCAAAACATTTTGGTTAGTAACGTTGCCTGCGACACGGTAAAAGGTGAAGTGATACATCTGTATATAGCCCCTTACACTGGTGGAAACAGAACGTTTCGATCTGTGTGCGGCTACCCTAATCACTCACTTCGCTATCGATCAATTTCCTTTAACCTTTCGTGGATCTGATGATGTAGATTGTTATTATTGATTCATACTGATCGCCTGGTTTCGAAAAGTGAAAAAACCTCCACTCAGAGCAGCTGAACTCACCTGCTTCATTTTCCTAATTTTTGGTTTGCTGATCAAATTGCTGCCTAACAAATTAGGTAGGATACAAAATTTTATCTGGGATTAACGGAAGCTATGAGGACCCCACCAACAGCAGCCTTGGATAAACTTATCACATTTTGTACTAAAAGGCAACTGTGCGGCAAGTCATACTGGAAAATTTATTGAGTACAAGGGATCGGTCAAAACAAAAATTTTGAATATGTGGGGAAAGGAACATATGTTCAGATCTCAAAAATTCAAATTCTTTTGATGTTTACAACCTGAATAGTAGAGTCATAACAGAGACAGCAGATTTTCTGCTCCGTCCACTGACTGTTCTTTTCAATACTTGTATTGAAGAAGGAACCTTTCCGGATAGTTTTAAAATAGCGAGAATAGTTCCGGTATTTAAAAAAGGTGACAGAGAAAATATGGACAACTACCGCCCCATAGCAATTGTTCCCATATTCGGTAAACTTTTTAAAATTATACTTAAAAACAGGCTCTATATGTACTTTCAACGAAGACATTAATTTAACCCCAATCTGTTCGGATTTAGGAAGTCAACCACAATAAATGCATTGAAGAAAGTTGTCGATAAGATTGTGGAAGGCTTTAAAAATAGGGAACATACTGCAGCCGTTTTATGTGACCTTACCAAGGCATTTGATAGTGTGTCTCACTCCTTATTGATCAGTAAACTTGAGTACTAGGTGTAAGAGGGGTGCCACTAGCTCTTCTTTCGTCCTACTTAGAGAACCGAAAACAGTACATAGAACTGGATGCAGAAAATGTGTCCAATCTCGAAATTGTCAAATATGGAAATCTCCAGGGTTCAGTACTGGGGCCCCTCTTATTCATAATATATATCAATGACCTCTTTTCCTACATGTTACCAAATGAATGTATAGCTTTTGCTGACGGCACAACTTTCTTCAGCACTAGCAAGAATGAACGCAATCAAACTATCTTGGCCTAGGACAGAGCTACATCCTGGCTCAGGTGCAACAATCTCATGCTGGATGATCTTAATACTCAAAAACTATACTTTTCAACTAATGCCTTTGTTGTAAACGGACTTCATGTTAAACTGCTGGGTATCACCCTTGATGACTTCCTGAACTGGTCAGTTCACGTAGAGCAGCTATGTTTGAGATATCAAAATATATATTCCTTCTTCGGAAGCGGAGGACTATGATTAGTGATCATGCATTATTATTTGCCTATCATGCGTTCTTTCACTCTCACATATCATATGGAACAATTCTATGGGGTATAGTAGTACTAAAGCAAATAAAGTTTTTGTTCTTCAGAAAAAGGCGGTAAGAATAATCTCACAGGCCAAGCAGAGTGATTCCTGCAGACCCCTTTTCGCGACATTGAAAACTATGACTTTGCCATCTATATTTATGTATCATACACTCTTAGAAATACATAAAAATAAAAGCAATCTCGAAATTAACGTTAATGTCCATGATCATAATACTAGGAGCCGCCACTCATAAGACCGAACAGATTCAGATTGGACAAATCAAGAAAAAATTCTATAAACGTTGACTGTTATAATATCTTGCCTCCTCAAGTTAAAGCTTTCGATTATAATACTTTCAAAAAATACCTAAAGAATCATCTTATCTCAAACACATTCTATTCTATGGATGAATATATGGCTGTCCAACTCTAGATATAATGCCAATTGTCTAGTGCTTGTATTAGCTTTTCTAATGATATTAACTTTGATGTATGTCTATATTTATATAGACATTTTATGACGTATTTCATACTGCTCGCTTTGCATAGCTGTGACTTGTCTTATTTGTACAATGTGTTTGTATGAGTTGATTATACACCTAAAAGATAAATAAATTAATAAAAATTAATATACAATAAAGCACACATTCGACATCCATTTGCAACTCACTTGAAATATTTCGATGGGAAAACTGATCTATCACGCTCACTTGGAGAAGTGTTTATATCAAACTCGATTGTCCCTATTGACATATCGAAGAATCCGTAGAAAATCTTGGGGATCGCATTGGTGATAATTGCCAGACTGATTATGCTGTATGATTACCTGGCAAAAATCGGCTCTGTGACTATCAGTACTACGCCATAAGCAACCATAGAAATCCTTGTAATCCTACCTCCTCTCCTCATGTTTCTGGAGAGAGAGGCTATTTAGAGAACATACAGATATGTGCATCTTTTGACAATTGGACAAAACAATATCATTCGAAATGTAGCATACTTACAACTGACACTGAAAGTTGCGTCAGTATGGTAATGACCTTCGATTTAATGCCTTCAAACTGCCAATTGCCTTATACAATCCTGTTGCTGAGAACAGAGTATTGGATCCTCCGGGAGAAAGAAATGTTAGGAGCTGCTGATTCACATATGAATCACCTTCAGGTTCTTGTGCAGGTGTATACAGACCTAGACCTAAGACAGAGATATCAACCAGCCTAGAGACCAAAACAACATGACAGACATACAATAAAGTACATCCAATGAGATTAGCAATAGGTGTCTTCGAATGAAAACAAAGCAAGCTCGTGATGGTACAGTATTTTTCTTAGACAAGAAATAAATAAGTCAGATGGTTTCTAAAGAGAAAAACATATACTAAAATAGCCTGTTTTTCATTTTTGAATGAACTCTCTGAATCATTTCATTTCTGTTCTTTTGGTAGTCACATTTTGATTGCACAATTTTCCTATCTATTTGTAACTTCAACTGTGGATGTCCTAGCAGCGTGTCCACATTATATTTGAGATAACTACTAGTGAAAATACGAATTTTCGTCCACTGGGTGGCGCTTTTAAAGACATTTGTATAGCATTAGAATCTAGAAGGCCTTGGCCTTCTTACGGTTTCGGTTGTAAACATTTGAAAACACACATGTTTCCATGTTCGAAATGAAACTTTGATTTCTTTGAAAGTTTGAAAACGAAAAGTGAAATGAGGTTATGTATTATTCTTCCTTCAATCGGAGGTCGGAGATATTCAAAATTCAGAAAACACTAACAAGAAATCGGGAAATGGATGTTTTATGATCTGTATCTATTCTGTGTTCTGTGTATAGCAAATTGAAGCGGGCAGAACCTAGAAACAATGAATTCAAGTCATCTGCTGTCGCCACCCACATAGAAATGAAAATTCTATCGCCAAGGCGTCTAATCCAAATCCACTGGCAAAAATTCGTCTGCTGCAAATTTTCAATATGTGTAGAAAATCTACCGATAAACTAGAAATCTGCCGCATATTGTTACCGTGTGCCCTAGTACCACTGCAGCTTTTTATCCTCTAACCTCAGCAAATACAGTACAACCGACAACCCTGTTTCGCACCGACCATGTGATTCCAACTTGGCGCCGAAACTCGCTATTGGGAGTTGACCACAGTCACATGGCCTAGTTACGTCATCGTAGCTCAAGCGACGCGTGTCCGAGCGAGAAGGTTACCTCATAAATCGGGTGCGAACGAGAGAGACGTACATAAAGCATGGTTAGCAGGGAGCGTCAACCATTATATCGCGTCCCCGGCTCTGTCTCTGTCTTTCCTAACGTCGGGCTTGGCGGGAGCGAGAGGAACGCCAGAGTCGGTCCGCCCATAAAGTGCTCTGGGCCCCCTGCTCCCCCCTGTCGATCGGGCGGAGCACACGACGGCAGTAAACCATTCTCCAACACTTAACTCACGTAAAGCATAGGACAAGTTGGTGTCCGCGCGCTATCTCACATGAACAAGATATAAACTGCGATTTTGTTCAATTGTTAAAGACAGTCACGTGAAAGTTGCGGTTTAAATTCCTTCCGTAATACTCCGTAGTGACCGATGGACTTCGACTTCCGGGCTCTTTCCGGGTCCTCTTAGGCCTCCGGAACGACTGCGGTTTAGAAAGGTCAGTGGCAGTTTATTACTTCCAGTATGTTGCGGCCGACTCCCTGATATGAATCTTTTCCATCCGAGAGTGTTGATTGCATTACTACCCCCAACCCTTGGCTGTTCATGACTGATTGTTCCCTGTAAAATGATACTTTCTGTGACGGCTCTATTTGAATCCCCCCCCCAATTCTTTCTGCAACAGTGCACCGGTAAACAGTTGCAGATCAGCAACCTAACCTCAATCTTTCATAACCTATATAATGTGTTTGAAACTTCTGACAGGCAGTTTATGATACCACAACGTTATAGCATGTATTTATTCTACAATTTTTAACAAACTGTTGAGATTTCATCAAACAATACTAATTTTTTTATCGCCTTAGCAGTTGCTACGAAAAATAACATAGAAATGACAATTTTCTTATCGTTATTGGTGAACTCATTTTTTTGGCGCCATCATCTGGTGTGAAATCATGTAAAGAATAGAGAAATGTAGACCCTCTTATGCTTTCGAATTTTAATCCAGAGAAAATATTCGTTGTTTTATATTTTTATAACGGAATAACCGACGGAAGCACACATTTTAGGCTCATAGAGAAGTGCTCTGTTTTATTTAAATTCTACATAAAATTATAAATACCTGCCAAGCAAACATACGTATATATCCATGGTAGAAAAAATGAAATGCTTCAGGGTTTTATGTGGGACATATAACCTACAATCAGACATATGAGCTCTTTCTTACGCTGTAAGAAAGAGTTTAAACTGCTGTGTTGAAAGAAATATATTACATCAACATTTCGAAACAAGAAAGATGAATATATGGAGTAGAATGAATTGAAGAAATTCATTCACAATCACGAAAAAACAGTTGAAAACTGGCAATTATTTCAAACCTACGTCAATTCAATGAATTATCAATATGATTCAAATTTTCTCCTTCTTTGTATGTAGATACAAATAGTTTTTCACTTTCTCCAGGAAATTAACTGAGTGAAATAGTAAGCTCTACCATTTTTCTTGTGTATCAAAGTATCAAGAAACGTAAACTGTATGTATTTGACAAAATTTTTCACATTTTCAAAGGTATTATAAAGCTGTAGCTTCTTTGAATATTTGTTAGCCTACCAATGATGAACTCTGTCGTTGAGGAGATAATTTTTTAGTTTCTAAAATACCTATAAGATTATTGAATAGATCCACTTAGGTAGTCTGTTACATAGCTATTTTTCATCACTTCAATGAATTATCAGCAAATATAGGTTTATATATAGGATTTGAGAATTTCGCGTTGCAGAAACGTTGAAAAATGTTCCAATTATGTTTTGGTGAAGAACTAACAGAACAATTGAAAGAGAGTTTTTGATTGAATTTCAGTTAAATTGACAGAAATTTTACATTGACCTTTCATTCGATTCATTCAGAAATCTTATTGATTTCATTGAAAATTTGTTCGTCAAATCCATCAGAATACCAATCAACTTCCATACATGTTGATGATTTCAAAACACCCTTTATATGGCAATATCCATACATTTTTAGATAAGAAAATTATTTTACTGAAATTGGTTCAAAAGAATGTTTTGTTTTTTCATTACAATACTCTGAATAAACTGATGTCGCCTGTCAAAGAATTTTAAGTCGTCAGTCATATATTAAATAATATTTTTCTTGAGAAGAATATTTCATTGTGTTTATGATTGTTCGATAAACAATTCTGATAAATCAAATTTTTGATGTATTTTTATATGCACTAATAACAGGCATAGACCCATAACAATACTGACTGTTTGTAGATGGATATAGATGTCACTATTTTCATAGAAGTACTATAAAAACATAGAAAGTTTTAAATCTCATTTTCCATGAAAACTAATGTATTTTTGTTAACTCATGAGTACACAAACAAATTGCCCAAACCACTGAAAAATTGATCACCTACAACACAAATAAAATACATGTAGTTTTTCAGAAGTACATTATACTTATACTTCAATATCTGTTCAATAAAATAATCTCTATTTTGAAATTTTAAGAAATTTAAAATTCGGTAACCAAATGTTGAAAACTGACAATATTTCAGGTAGGCACTAAAAAATTGAAATAAAAAATATAGATGAACTCAGGACAATATATGTCTCCTCTACAAAAAAGTAATACAGCCAGAACACTAGAATTTTCAAATTTCAGAGGAATTTAAAGACAATATAGACCAGAAACCAAGCATACTTTTTAAAAAATTCCAGGAAAAGTTGATCTGAATCTAACAAAGACATTAGAAGATGAATGAATTTGAAAAATATGTACCTACCTACATTCTCTATAATTTATTTATGTAATATGTAATATCACATATTATAAGTATATATGTTTGTATGTCTATTATATAAGTGTTGATAATATTTTTAAAGAAATCTGTACACAACCATGTCGATACAAAATTTCGACGTTGAACTATAGTGTATGTTCTAACTTTAATTTTTTTGTAGGGGTTTTTATATTCACATTTTACATTTCTAAACTAACATTTATATTTATTTTACACAAGCTTTGTCCACAAGATGTATTCCTTATAACAATAAAGTATATTATCATTATTATTATACAAGTTAATTGTATGATACTCTTTCAAACCTTTATATCGTCATCCCCATATTCATAAAAACAAATGTTAATAGCTTCAAATCTGTTATGGTTACGGTTATAATTCGACATCATTAAAAGTGAAGTTTTTCATTTTTTTTCATGCTGTAGAGAAATTAACATTTATAAATTACTCTTACATTTAAAAAAATTAGAATATAGTCGGTGAGTATACCGTTTAAAGAGATACAAATCATATGTAGTCCAAGTAACAGTTCGAAAACAATTCATATTTTGACAATTTGAAGTTGTTTCTCGTTCAAATACGATAAAAGAAGTCCAATCATTATACAAACCGATGCCTTAAAATTGTATTTACCAAGAAAAGCGTCGTTATGTATCAAAATCTTCAAATTTTCACCAAAATCTTCTTTGTAAAGTATATAGAACCAATTATGAATTTTTTGATATAAATCGATATTTTATACGTGACATCAGTTATTTTCGGTGTTTTCAAAATATGTTAATTTAAATAATGACAGTAGCACATCAACCATAGAGTCATAAAAAACACCTGAGATTGTAATCACATTACATACAATATTTATTTTCTTGCCTCTATGTTCTCGACCTCAACCCATATACAGAGTTATTAATAGCCGCAGACATTATTCAGGCCAATTAGAAATTGACAGCCCAGGAAATGAATGGGACTACATACAGATCCAGAATACTTCCATTATTCAAGTTATCGTTAAACAAATATATACCATTCATCATACCTGCTGTTGCTGTTGAGGAAAGAAACAGAAGTGGGCGAGTTTTTCAGAGGATTGTGGTAAAATATATCAAAAATTATGATAATGATTCATTTTCTCAACTGAAGATGGAACATTTTTAATATTGAAACCGCTTGAAGTTGAGTCTTTGAATTGATCACTGCACTTTATAATTTTCACATTTCATTTCATCGTTCATTTCGTTCATCGTTTCATTTCATTTTCAAAGCAATTTAGCATGTTTGGTCAGTATACATTATGAAAAATATTGTTGAAAAGTTTAACAGTATCCTTTTTCATCATAAAACTAAAATTTCCTGATGAATAGAACAAAAACTGAGAACTTCAGATTATGATACGAAAATACTTTGAAAATTTGCAATAATTTTAATGAGTACTATGCAAATCTTGGTCAAGAATATGTCCTTAAAATTAAAGAATCAGCTAATTACAATTACAATGAACGAATATTACAGATTTCAATATATCTATCAGAAACTAATGAAGAGGAGGTTTACAAAGTTATTATGGAATTAAAACAGAAGAAATCTCCAGGTTATGATGGAATTCGCTCAGAAACGCTCACCTAATCAACAGGAAGGCTGCTTTCCCAAAATATTCAAAATTGGAATATTAAAACCACTTTTTAAAAGTGGAGACAAAAAAATAGTGAGACCTGTATCACTGATCTAAAACTAAGAGTAGTGAATTTTAGTAGGATCAGATATCAGATCAGCAATACGGATTTAGGGAGGTGAGATCAACGGAAGATGCAAAACAAAATATAACTACTTGTATTTACGAAGCTCTTGACAAAAAAATTCCAGCAATGTGCATCTGCGTTGATTTATCCAAAGCTTTTGACACCGTCAGTCATACAAAAAACTCCTGAGAAAGTTAGAGAACTGCGGAATACGTGGGAAAGCTTACGACATTTTTGAAAGCTATCTATGTGACCGAGAACAGAGAGTTAGTATCGATGGAATTATGAGTTATCCCAAAATTGTTACTTATGGTGTTCCGCAAGGAACGGTTCTAGGACCAATCCTGTTTACAATATATTTGAATGAACTATTGCAGATACCAACAAAAGGTAAAATTTTGAGCTTTGCTGACGATACGGCTGTCTTGTATACCGACTCTTCATGAAACCAATTGAAAATGTCTGCTGAAAAAGATTTCATTGAGATCGAAAAATGGTTCTGTCACAATAAACTCACGATCAATTTGGAAAAAACCAAATATTTGCCTTTCACATCATACTGCAATACATTACTCAATATAGGACCCCTAAATATAGGAAACAATAATCACATACCTGAAGGCGAGTCAATAAAATATTTAGGTATCCATTTAGATAAACATTTTCGATGGCACCTACATATGAAAGAAATAATCAGAAAGTTAAGAGGTACACTTTCTAAATTCAATAACTTAAAATACTTTCTTGGCATTCAACATTTGAAAACGTTGTACTTCGAACTAGTCCAATCCCAACTATCCTATGGTATAATTTCCTGTGTCTATCTCATTGTTCCATAAAAAGTTCATAATACCTTTGAAAATGAAGTATTTGATAGTCTAAACATATACATGAAAAAACCCTCAGGTATACGTTGAAAAGTAAGAGTTGCTTCACTTCTTCTGAAGGATT